GTGTCTTGCCTTGCTTTGATGTAAGCGTCAACACGAAGTCTCTAGAAATGAGGATTGCAGCGTTTGCAGGCTCTTGCATGTTGTGTAGTGTGGCATATGGTGTTTTAGGAGGCCACCAATGCCGTTGCTTGCGTTCTTGCCGTGCCCACTCGCAGAAAACAACCACCTTGAAAGAAGGCCGCTTTCACCCATTTCGTAAAACTGAAACCTGTTTTTAAAGTGCATCACCACACCATCCGAGATATATGTTAAAGTTGTAAAGTTGGGTTCTTCTCGTTCGAGGACCTCAACAATCTTCTTTAGCGCGAAGATGCCGAGCGCGGAATCGTGACGAAGGTCGTCGCTGATATTGGCGAAACTTTTTGTGGTGCTGGGCGTCGTTGCAACGCAGGCGAAAATGCTTAGTTGCTTCTTTTGCCAGTAGTACCCCTGCACTGGCTTTGGGAGTACTATGCTCCAATTTCCGGTGAAGTCGAAGTGAAGCACTATAGACTTGGGTGACGGATTCGACTCAGCATCTCATATTGCTTTTCTTTGAATGTCTTTTATATACTCATGAGTGATATACTTTTAGACGCAATCTCTCACCAATTTGATAAATACGACTACACTGAGCGTTTTCTTCATCAGATCTCCCAATTTCCACGTTGCAATTTTTATTTCTTCCTCAGGATCGAGGTGTAGTGTACGCGCACTTAGAATCTTCGCTCCAGGGCATTTCTTGCACTCCTGGAGCATGCAGGCTTCTGATGAGTTGGCGCACATGCATAGCGCAGTGATCTCCTTCTTAGTGAAATATATTGATGAGGTGTTGTTTACTGATGCTAGCAGCAGTTCGAAGTTCGCACAAAGTGTGCACACACATTGGTCCCAGTACGGAGCAATCTTGACCCATTTTAGGCGCAACGTATAAAATTTTGTTAGACCAAGCTTGATGTCTGGATGAGCTGTCATCAAGAGAGCATACGATTCGCGAATAGAGCGAGTCATGTAGCGTTTCACAATACACTCCATGGTTCCCGATATGTTTACGGTAACAACATCTTTCTTGTTTGGGCTTTCGATGGAGCAGTCCATCTCACCTTCTAAAAAGTAGCGGAGAGCTGTAGCAACATCCGATTCTTTCAGCTTGTTTGAAGTGTACGGATCAGGAAACGTCCATACACTGTTAGCTGCCTTGAGCTTCCTCGACTTGTGAATCAAATACTTCGTAGCCGCAGGAACAGCATTCAGTATTTGTTGCTTTGTCATTTCGTTCGGAAACAACGTCAGCAACTGACATCTTTCCTTGATCGAACTGCTCTTCTCGTATGCTGTTCAAACTTTCTCTCCCCATTCCGCGCACATTTTGTTAGAAGACGTCTTATAAAGTTCCTTCTCTAGCACATCATATGCGTCACTGCTCTTGCGCCGTAGATTGACTTGACAGCATCCTCGACTTGGCTCTGCTTTCTTCCGGAGTATGAGCGAAGAGATCTTTTTCGCAATTCTTCTGGCATTCTGAACGGCGACACCTCTATATCCAGTGATGATACGCGCTTGTGAAGTTCGATGACAGATGCTGCCTTATCAACATAGTCACTGTCTTTATCCGAGGGTCCAGCTGTTCTTGCTTCCAGGTAGTCAGAAACACGGGATGATAAATACCTGTAGCAGTTCTTGCACATCTCGTCAGTGTCCAGGATGGGCACAGGGCAAGGATCCAATATTCTCCTGAGTGAGTTCGAATCCAGAGCGCTGACACACTTGAAGTCCTTATTCCGTAGAACCATTTTCTTGGGCCGGCGTTGTTAATCGGCACAACTGGAGAATCGTGGCACTCGAAGTTGAGAAAGCGCTTTCCTGAGTCTGTCCGATCTCAACAGTATACCAGTGTGCTCGGCCAAACAGCCTTTTGAACGTTTTTTTTATTTTCTTTCTCTCCTTTGGGATGATACCGCCTAGCGACTTCCCGACCCTTCTTCCCTGGTGCGAGGCCGCTCTTACCGCGGAGGTCACTAGAGGCGATAGGGAAACCTTGCAAGGGTAAGAGCCCAAGGGCCGCGGCTCCTAATAAGCCGGGAGGAGCTTTACAGCGTTTTCTGAGCCCTATGGGAGGAAAAACACATTCATTTACCATCGTCGATCTTTAGCCCTTGATTGGGTTGTCCTCTCAACTTTGCCGCTCAGTGCTTGGTCAGATGACTGGCAGTCTCGCGAAGGAAATAACGAAAAAGAAACAAATAAATATTGCTATATTTACAAACTGTTTCGAGGGCTGTTCAATGTGAATATTGCCCTCGTATCTGCAATTCAGGTCACAGTTGTTTGCGGAGGCATGTTTGGGGATTTTTACAAAGATTGGAGCGAGGAATATTAAATAGTAGTTATAATGTGGTCTTACCTACTTGCATAAATATCACACTAAAAAAAATATAAATGCTCTGTTTTGAATACTTTGAGATTGAGAGTTGTTCAAAAGCTCCACACACGAAAATCGTCAAAACTCACCATCGGCATTTGCGCATTTTTAGCATATTTAGAGGCTTAAAACTCAAAACCAAGGCAAATACCTCTAACGAAAGATATTCTGGCTAAAAGAAGGATGTGAAGAGAACGCGACGCGAGAAAAAGAAAAAAATATTTATTTATTTATTTATTTTTTATATAGAGCGTCCTGGAAATTGAACAAAAGGTGAAAACCCTATCTGTTTCATAATATATTTCTCGGTACTCGTACATAATAAAAACACGAACTTTGCTTAATTTGGAAGGCAATGGAACGTTATACATGTGGTATTATTTTAAAAGCGATACTAAACAAAGTTGACTTTAAAAAAAACACAAAACAAAACGCAATCTAGGTCACAGTTCTTCGCGGAGGTATGTTTGGGGATTTTTACAAAGATTGGAACGACGAATAATAAATAGTAGTTAGAATGTTGTTTTACCTACTTGTATATATATAACACTAAAAGAATACATACGCTCTCTTTTTTGAATACTTTGAGATTGAGAGTGATTCAAACACGCCACACACGACAATCGTCAAAACCTCGTCGTTCTTTCCCGCTTCTTTGAGATTTTTTTCTCAGAAACTAAACATGTCAGCATATTAAAATAAAAAGGATTGTTCTTCTAGGAACATGCGTCACGAAATATAAAAATGTGAAGCAAATTAAAGAATACGACTGCCAGTCGTTGCCTGAATTCAAATGAAACCGCCAATATATATGTATATATATTATTTTTTTCTACAAAATGTTTCTCGGAACTTTACCGCACCTCATGCAGGCGAAGAGATCGCGCTCTCTTGCCCTATATATAGTGCTCAAAACCTAAAGTAAATTATTTGACGGGTATAATTCTCTATAATATAGTTGGCCTGAAACTCTCTAATTAGGTAAAGCGCCACAAAAAGTGATCGATGCGATTAACAATTAAGATTTAAATGAAGTGTTCTAATGCTGTAATATTCATTTTTATGCAAGTAAGAAGAGGTTTCTTTTTCAATTTTCACGTCCATATTCGCATTTTACCTCACCACTGTAGACATAACTTTATTTGGGGCAATATAAACCTCAATACAGGGTGACGGCAAGTTAGTTTAGGAATGTATTTGACTGCAATCAAAAGTGCTTCTTACACATAACTCCAACAATCTTACAATTTGCATTAAGACTCCCAAATTATTACAGTTGTAAAGATCTGACAATAATTATTTGACGCCTTAAAATACACCTTGTACAAAAACATGAAAAAGTCGACTTATGATTCGGACACCAAGCCGATTGAGGCACGAGTTAATCGGAAACATCAAGTATAAGATAAGCAACATTAAACGTTTGTTGATTATTTTGTGGCTATTAATTTCTGACATCTTTAGGCAGCTAAAGGAATAAAACCTCGACAGTGCGTGATGTGAGCTTGTTTATCGCAGTGTCAATAAATTTACAATAAAGATAGCAAGGTTCATATAAAAATGCGGACGTTTCGTTTTGATATATGTGTATGTGAAACGAGCGGAGAGAAAAAGTGGCGGGAGCGTCCAACCTGCAAACAAGTGGCGAAAACAATCAATAGCGGTATTCTCTAGCAGATCGAGTGAACATAACTATAGCTTCTGCTGCCGCTGTCCGGGCCCTCCCGTATCTGCTTCCTTAATCGCTGTGGGGATCAGATTTAGATGAGACTACGATTGTGGAGACGGAACGTGCACATTCGAAAGTCTACATGAATCAGGGTCCAGCTGAAACGAAACGAGGTGATATAAAATAAGATATAAAGGTTTGTGCCGCATAATGAGTCGAATACCTTGCTTTAGATGCCTGAAACCGCGATCAGTTGATTTATCTTTCACTCAGCACAGTGAAACGCAGATTGTATATGAAATACTTTATTATGTTGATGTAATAAACAAATGGTAATATCATTCACACTAAAGGTTAGACACTCATTGTAGTAAAAGTTCCGGCTCATCTAAAAGAGTATAAAGAAAAGTCAAGGTAAAGCACTTGGTTTTTGTAAAATTGAGCTTGTAAGGCGTATATTTGTTTTTGCTACCTGTGCAGTTTTTTCAAGACATGTCCGCGTTCTCAGGAACACAGTTCAGATGGAACTTTTTTTTGGTTGTGAGAGTACATTAAGTTTTTTTTTGTGAATGCTAATTGTACCATGATCGGTTTAAAGTGAAGTGAAGAAAATTGGAACTTGGAGAATTACAAGCTTGTCTGGGGCAAGTCGTTACTTGACTTGGGAAAGCGGGAAGCAAGATTTGGTGACCCGAAAATACAACCTTGGTAAAAGCTATATAGTTCAGCTTACCCGGACATACCGTGTTTCAGAGGTCTCCGCTTCATATTAAACTCACAAATATGTAATTTCATGAATACCAAACACAGCAGCCTGGCAGTGACATTCTCAAAACACCCGTAAAACCGGGTCAGTCAAGTTACTTAGGAATTCATATTCGGAAGAAGAAAAAAAATCACTGGCGGTGCAATTTCTTTTTTTTGTTGCAGGAAAAAATGTCCGCGAAACCTACTTTCGTTGATCTCTTTCGTTACCGATGTATCCGAAGAACGACATATGTGAAAGCTGCTATGGGGTAAGATGCCATTTATGGAGTTCTATGAGGTTATTAGAAGCCCATATTGCTGTTTTTCTCTACGAAGCAACATATCAGCTATGTAATTTTTCAGTATTAGGAATATATAGCAGCTACCTTTATCTTCAATATTGTTCTAGGGAATTCATTATTCAAGGAGCGATCGTTTAAATGAGCTTAGATGTGCAAAATATACAATACTTCAAATAGTAAAAAAAAAGAATGAATATTTGGCCAGCTGAATTGAACGGGTAGTTGATATCATGTATTTTGTCGTCACGCAAAATTTTTAAATTTCGCGGTAAAATTAATTCACATCAATTAAGTAACGACAAATTTTCACGCAAACTTTAGCGGAGAAATTTGTGTCTCGCGAGCTGAACTTACATGGCGCGGTTGCTTGAGCCGCAGCGGAGTAGTCGTAGTTCACGCGATATCATGAGGCCATGTAATGTCAGGTCACGTGATATCATTTCTTTATTAAATTTGACACAAATGTTTAGCACGACGTCTGATCACGCCGAGTTAGAAATTGTGATGTCTATTCGGTGTTATGGGTTGAAGAATGACGTCACATGACCGAACGTCCCACGATGTGGTCACATGACATGGCGTCACGGGGTAAATGCACAGTGCCACGTGACATAATTAAGTCAAGTGATGTAACTTCAATTTTTTGATAAATTTATCGGGTAAACTTCGCGTGACATCCAGTCAGGTGACATGTTGTTTGAGCAGAGAGTAATTTCACGTGATGGTGCAGATTGATTTGTTTTATAGTCACGTGACATCGATTTTTTCACTAAATTGGGCAGGGAAATACACAGACGGACAGATGAAAACAATTCTAGGATTACAAAGCTCTGCTCAAAATAATTTCATCCTTCCCAATTTAGCGCGTGGTCATCATAGTTCGGAACCTAATTCAGCAGTTTCGGGCAATTTTAAACGTCTATTAAACTTCGCTTGCCCATCACTTCCGGATCACAATTTAGCTTTTTTTATTTTTCAAATATTGACCAATCCTGAAACGAGATTCGCGCCGGCATCATTTTCAGTGCTCATGCAAATCGCGCGTTCTCTGCTCACTTTCCAATGCGAATAGCATGCGCGTTCTGGGCACAAATGATCGCACTCCGGATCGTGATTTTTGACATTGGAGTGTTGTATACGGTTCCTGATAAGGCTTTCTAATTGTTTTAAAAACCGGAATAAATTTAGATCTGAAGCTATGTACACATTTTACAGGATTCTCAGCACACTGCTTTCCTACAACCTCACATACTCCATCATCCTCGTGGGTTCCAACCCGTTCGCGAGTTTCGCCCTCATGGGCGCCATGGGGTATCCCGTGAAAATTGTATCTGTGTTCTTTACTAACTACCTAAAGAGAAGAACATCGTACGGTATATTGTACAGTTACGCCTTCATCTGCTCCTTGGCCGCCATCTTTCTTCCAAGAGGTAGGTCAATGATATACGTATAACCCGGTTTTTATGCTGACTACTTTTTTCGAAGAAACCAACGAACATCACATGCAATACAGGGAAGCCTCTAACAGAGGCGGTTTGATTGGTACAAATTGTGAGGTATATATTTTTGTAGCTTTATTCAATAAAGCACACAAAATTCTAATCATTTGGTATTGTCTAAAGCACTGAGTGCGATTCGTCTTTTGACGTGTTTTAATATTTTAACAATATTAACTTTGAAGATTCCAGCAATTTTTATTACGACGAATGATTATTCTGTAGTCTTCGTTTTAAAATTAAATTACGTTTTAACTATTCGAAATCTGCCGGAAAGTGCACACAAATTTGCAAATTTTTGAACGTCAAGTAATGCGATTTTTAACAGAAGCCAAATCGTCACGTTGGACATACTTTGATGGTAAAACTGGACATCTGTACATGTCATTTTTTCATTGTCACAGATCCCTGGTGGCTGCAGGTGATATTCGTCCTTCAGGTGAAGCTTGGGTCATCCTGCGCCTCCACAGTACTTTTTGTTCAGCGTTCCGAGCTCTATCCGACGAAGGTCAGGACTCTGGCAACAGGCTTCATGATTATGGCATCCAGGGTCGGCGCCATGACAGCTCCGTTCACAAAGGAATCGGTACGAAGGAGAAAATAACGCCTGACTACTTTTCAATGACAAAACTACAAAAGCCCTAGAGCAAGCGTTATGTTGGATAAATGGGGCGTTTACTTAATTTAAACATACTCGTTCATTCATAAATATGGTATACTTACTTAATACAGTAATGAGCACTGATGACCTAAACCTGTCGAAGTGTTCAACTGTATGCTAAAAGATTTAGAAACCACGAAGGGGGGGGGGGGGGACGAGATTCTATATCTAGTTGTGTGAACATTTTCTAGCCTTCAGGATCGTAACATTGTACTGGGTAATGCAAGCTGATATGCAGAAATTTACAAATGGAATATACCAGAACTGATGCGCATAAAATTGCACTTGAAAAAAATAATCCTAGAAATATGTTCGTACCTCTCTTCCTGACTACCATGGTGAGCGCAAGGTAGATGTAAGGTGTTACGACCATTGATTGCCTAAACGTTTTTATATTATTTCGAGATTTTCACCTTAGTTGGAATATTCGAATTAAAAATTTGTTTCCCGTTGTCAAATTATGCCATAGCCGCTGATTTAATTAAGACAACCATATTTTGCTACGCTGAATCCCTCGACGAGGTTAGAATATCTACCGTCTGCCATAAGAAAGCAAGGGTGCTATAAGAGCCAAAAGCTGTGTGCCCGAATAAATAGCAGAATTCGAACAAAATATAATACTACCATGCGGACGCTAGGTAACGAGACGCTGTCAGATAAGCTCTTAATGAATCGCTACTCGTACTTGTTGCAAAGGTTTATGTCGCTTCCCGCGGGAGACTTGCTGCCTTTAGGATTTAGTATTGGGATCACACAATCCTCACGGATTAAATTGACCAAATAAAATCACGCAGCACATCCTAGTCTTTCTTTCTCCTTACAACTATGTCATGTTTTGACAACGGGCAAACAGTTTTTAATGATACGTGATATCTAGGGTGAATGTTTTAAAAGTCAGTCTGGAAATGTTATGTAATATATGGATTAATTTTCGCGTTTGAAAATTACAACCTTATTCTCGTAGCATGATACCCTCCAAGATCCGCAACATTGTCCTAAGGAAATGGTTTCCCGTCAGGTAGAGCCCCTTTTTAATAATTTATCAATAGCCAGTAAAAAGCAGGAAATGCTTGACGTATAAAATAACTATTATAGGACTTGTAATTCAGTTTTTACATCGATAGCTGCCATAGAAATATTCCAGCTGCAATCGTGCAGGCGGTGTTGTGCTCAGCAGGCACATGCCCATCATCTTTCGACTTAATTTTGGCTTCGGATAGGTGGCGCTAGCCGCCACCCGAATAAATGGTTCAGCCGTATTCATCCAGCCAATTATCCGTAAGGGGCTTTACGCGCCTGTATCTTCTCGGCCGAGGATACCATGAGTGCGATTTGGTAGGAGCATTCGGGTTTGGACCTGCTCCAAGCACCGACTCGGGGCCGATTTAAAGAGAAGCGCCTAAAACAATCATGTAATCACCAGCTATACGGTGGAGACGGCGCCTGCCTCGGGGTGTTTATAAAAGAGTGACATCCTATCCCGTCAGTTCACCCAGCATGAGGACAAGGGGGGCTTATGCAAAGTTAGGACACCATAAAAAGGAAGGGAATATAAGGCTCGTCATCTTTATGAAAAGCGTGAACGTCTGCGCTAGAATAGCTCTCACGGTTACTTCGCACACTGATAAAAAAACCTGCAGATTTTTAGTATTTATTTATTTGGAAAGTATCATCGGTTTTATTATGAACATCATCGGTTTTGTATGCTCATTGAGATTCGACATTGTTCCATATATATTTCATTAAACGTTTTAGTAGATTGTTTTTTTTTAATATATTCTGTCTCAGCTGGTTTATGCTTGCATATATGAAGTGACCAGCACGTCCCCAATAAAGAATAGCACCACACTATCTCTATAAAATAGAAGCTAGGTCAGCGTCTATATCTAAATTTAGCCGCACAATGTACAGGGTGTGATCATCGGACCGTGGGCTCCCAGAGTCGTGGATTGTTGCACCTGCCTATGCCTTCTAGTTTTGGGGCTCCTACTCCCAGAGACCTTCAAGCTCCCTCTTCCTGATAATATTGAGGATATCAAGAGTAGAAGGTAAACCTTATCTGCTATAGAAGCCGGAGATATTTAATATGCTTTGTTACTTTTTAGTTTGCAATTTGCGATTGCATACTGCCAAATAACCGCAGATTTTTCCTTCTAGATACCTGACTTTCGTATTCAGCTTGCACTGGAATGATTAACGAAATCTGAAAAATTGAACAACCACGCGTCGTCTTCACAATTTCGAAACTTTATTCTTAGGATTACATGAAGTATTAGATCGTACAAGTGCTTGCCAGAGTGTCCGAAAGGCGGCAGTTGTGTCAGGACATGTACTAAACTGACTGGAGAGGGTAGGAGGTGCAACGGTTGATTAAGTGCTACTTCGCCCGCCGTTGTTTTTACTATTCGTGTGTATAAATATTGGGTTTTTGTGTTAGGTTCAATGTCAGGTTAACCTTTGTTATAAAAAAGTGAAAGCCGTTTACAACTCCCTGTAATGCTGAATTAGAGCGCAGCTCTTGAGGAGGAGGAGGGAAGGGTATTAAGGGGGTCAAGCGACCTTGGGTGGGGGTCACGTGACCTAGGGGGTCACGTGACGATGACGATGACGATGACGTCATCAGTAACGATGACGGTGCGGGTACCGATGACGTCATCAGTGACGTCACTGATGACGTCATCAGTGATGATGACAATGACGATGCGGATGCCGGTGACGTCATCAGTGATGATGACGATGACGATGCGGATGCCGGTGACGTCATCAGTGACGTCACTGATGAGGTCATCAGCGATGATGACGATGCGGATGCCGGTGACATCATCAGTGATGATGACGATGACGATGCGGATGCCGGTGACGTCATCAGTGACGTCACTGATGACGTCATCAGTGATGATGACAATGACGATGCAGATGCCGGTGACGTCATCATTGATGATGACGATGACGATGCGGATGCCGGTGACGTCATCAGTGACGTCACTGATGACGTCATCGGGGTCACGTGACCCCGGGATCACGTGACTTGGGGAGCCACGTTACTTTGGGTGTCACGTGACCTTCGGGGTCACGTGACCCTGGGGGAGGGGTCACGTGACCTTCGGGTGACCTTGGGGAGTCAAGTGACCTTTTTATGACCTTGGCTACGCCGACGGCGACGGCGACGCCGTTTAAGCCGGGAACGGGCCCCTAAGAGCTGCGCTCTAAAAAAAACTTTTATTTTCAATTTCACAGTTGTTTTGAGTCAATCTGGTTAAAGCAGTACGCGTGAAAATGTGTATTTCAGTAGAACAGACCGGAGATACACAATTAAGGAAAAGTGTCGGTTTAGCGTTCGTAAGTATTAAAATCAACGTGGGTTATGCTCGTCTTGAATATTTAGCCTGCAACGTTGTTGTTGTGGTTTGAAACGTCTTTATTATATTAATGGGATCACAGTCATGAAGTACGACTGAACAGCTGCGGGCCTTGTTCATAAGGGGTAGGGGAGGGAGTTCGGGGGGAAAGGAACGGCCTGTAACGCTGAAAGACCGGGATACCAAGATCTGAATATTACTGAACGATTGGTGTATTTTGGCTTTTGACAGTTAACTTGCTTAAATTTTAAAACTGCAATGCATGATTAAAAACAAATACCTTCAGCAGCCAGCAATTCTTATCACAGAATATTGCGTCCGACCTTAGTTCCCTCAATTAGAGTACACAGGGTTTAATGCAGAAGCAAAGGGTTCGAATGTTGTCATAGAAGTTTCAATCTCGATGAGCACTGGTGTGCAATCATGTGGGAACTTCTCTGTGATGCAAGTTAAGGCTCCCATGCTGTGCATAGTACTACAGTGGACAACTTTTGTAACTGCAGCAAAAACACCATTAGCTATCTTAAGAAAGACTAACTTGCCGGCCAGAAACATGGCGAAAAAAAATTAACAGGTTATCATAAGCAAACTAGTGTACAAGGTAATTTGTTTATATAAATCTTCCTATACTCCTCAATGCCGCCACCTATCAGCAAAATGAGCTGTATGCGAAGTTTTAATCCTGGCAAAAGCAGCAAAGAAAGTGTTCCTGAATACGCTGGGTGACAAATATTTGTTTCCAAGTTACACCTATAGGTCAAATCCTGTCAATTTTTCTTGTTGAAATAAATTGTTGAATGATGGATGAATTCCTAGATCTGATACTTCCTAAATCAACAAATTATTAAATGACTTGATTATATTACTAGTTAAATTTTTATGTTAGACAGCGGTACAGTTTTCAAGAGATAGCGGACAGAAACATAAATATTGAACCGGACGATAATTAGCAAATGTATATTTTCTCGATGTTTTGTTTTCATGTAAGCTTCAATGCAGTGAACAGATTACATTGAAGTGAGTTTCTACTTCTGCCTCCCAAGCCAGTACAATCCCTACCTAAATCCGCAAAACTCGACTTCGTTCTGACAACAGCGCAACCCTGGCACAAGAAGCAGACGGCTTGTTCTCCGCATAGGAACCCAACGTGTTCCAAAGAATGAGGCTAAGTTGCCAGGACAGCTTCGAAAGTATGCCGTCCAGATGTCTGTACTTTCATAGACCCACCCCGTGGAACGTTACTTAGAATATATTCAAGGCGGACTGAATGCATCAATAGTATGACTTGATTAGGAATATGTTTCTTGGAATCTTGTCCTAAGTAGAATAACTCCTATTTATTTTTATAGTCGATGACTACTAAGAACTGAGCGAACTTGACTCTAGTCTATGTCTCTTTTAAAAGTGGACAGTGCTGGAACTGTCATCGTCAAATCAGCGTTTGGTCTGCGTTGTCGAGTGGCGAAGCGTTTGATTTTAAGCCTGTTGAAAGTGGCGGCTTTATAAATATATTTCAACTGGGGCAATCGTAAAACTTACAGGCACTGATATCTGATTCTTTGCATAATTTACTGGGCTCAAGTTACTAAGATATTTTTAAACCTTTTTGACAACGCAGGGAGAGAAATAGCTAAAACACGACCTGACAACAGAAGTGGGAGGTTTGTTTCACTATAAAAAGAGATTTACACCAGCACAAATTGCTCAGGTATAAAGACGACTAGTACTCCTACAATGCAAAATCTAAAACAAAATATTGCAAAACCTATGCATTACAAATTGTAATGATTACTGGTAGCTGTAATACATTTGCCAACAAAAACACCCAGATATTTTGTTAAAAATAATAATTAAATACGGGTTTCTCGTGGCCTATTTCTCCTAGCCCTAGACCAAACATGACGATACATTATTGGCTATAAAAGTGAAAGCCGTTTACAAATCCCTGTAACGCCGAATTGGAGCGCAGCTCTTGAGGAGGAGGAGTGAAGGGTACTGAGGGGAGGGTAGACCCCTCCTCCTCCCCTCATTCTTTAATATGCTCCGGGGGGGCGTTCACGTGACCTCGGGGGGGGGGGGGTGTCACGTGACTTCGGGGAGGGGGGTCACGCGACCTCGGGGGGTCACGTGGGGGTCACCTTGGGGTCACGTGACCTTGAGATGACCTTGGGAGGGGTCACGTGACCTTGGGGGTCACGTGACCTTGGGGAGGAGACCACGTGACCTCGGGGGTCACGTGACCTCAGAGGGGTCACGTGACTTGGGGGTCACGTGGGGTCTTGGGGTCACGTGACCTTGAGATGACCTTGGGAGGAGTCACGTGACCTCGAGGGGTCACGTGACCTTGGGAGTCACGTGGGGTCACGTGACCTTGAGATGACCTTGGGAGGGGTCGCGTGACCTGGAGGGGTCACGTGACCTTGGGGGTCACGTGACCTTGGGATGACCTTGGTTACGCCGACGGCGACGGCGACGGCGACGGCGACGCCGCTCAAGCCGGGAACGGGCCCCTAAGAGCTGCGCTCTAAAATACAATAAAATGATGGGCCAGCAGGTATATTACAGGAATACAAAAACTGCCAGGTAAGAGTACAAAGAAAGACAGTATGCCACAAAAAAGAATGCAGTAGACATCTATATGAGCATAACTTTATTATAAAACTCTACTTTTATATAAAACAGTCGGCGACTCATAATTTACGCTTCAGTTCAACGTGCGCCATCGTACTTAATATGATAATAGGACTATATGCGTATTTTCAGTAGCCTTGCCATTTCCCCTTTTAATTTCAGCCGCAAGTCAACTACCCCTGAAGCCGTGACGATGCTGCGGAATGGGCACTTTCCAGGACCTGAAAATGAACATCAAATAGTGCGAGACAATTAAATGTCCTTTACTCTCTGAAAAACAAAAGTGCGCTACAAACGAAGTGTATGTTTGCTTTGTTGTCCCCAGAAACTGTATTAGATTTAACCATTTTTTTTTCACGTGTGCATTTTTAGCTGAGGTACAAATAAAACTTCAAGAAAAGCAAACCGTTCAGTTTATAAATCGGAATAAGTTTCGAGGTACCAGGTAATTCTAGGGCTCGGAGTCGATTAAAATTTGAGTCCGATTAATCGCCGCCCTCAAATAGATTAATTATTCGAGTAATCTTGTTTCGTTCATTTTTGTGCATAATAGTATTAAAAAATTGAAAATTACAGTTGTTTTGCCCTTGAGATATATGTGATAAACGGCAAAAAGTACAATTTGAGATTATAAATATACCTTGATGTGAGCAGTCAAAAGACCACACTAAAAAAATATTACTTCAGCCGCAGAGACAGAGAGGTTCGTTGATATTCTCCCACAGTAGCGAACTCCTTTAATTGTTCACAGTCTGTGGCACGCTAAACGCAAAGTCACACGGCGTTGACGTGACTCAAAATATAAGAGACTAACCGGTTTAAAGTGTATCGCGATTATAGCGTTACTGGATTAGTCGCTAAGTTAATCGATCAATTGCCGAGCCCGAGTTAATACTACTTAATGAAGTGCAAGTAGCAGGACCAAATACGCTCTTCGTGGCAACCTCTATCATGTTTACCCTGCTTTTAGTGCCCTTCCCTTTGGATGTGATGTTTTCAACTGAATAATAAACAATAATAAAAAGAAAACCTTCGGCCTTGTTATATTTAAATATTTGGAAAAAATGAACAGCCTGACATTTATTTTAAGTAATAGGCGTCTTGAATCGCTAAAATGTGACACAGTTTGTTTCTTAGATCGAATTTTTTAGCCTGTTGATGGTTCATTGAACTCAAGACTATTGCCAATTCAGTTAATATACGTAAAACACCCTTCTGTTCTTAAGACGAGTTAAGTGTTGAAGCTTTCAATATACTTACGATATTATTTCCGCTTAGGTATGGTCATCGCTTCCTGATTCGTATAATTCTGATCAGTGTTTGATTGATATAAATGAAAACGAACTACTTCGTATTGAATTTTTGTTCCGTAAGCTGAAGTTTAACTTTTAACAAAACAATTAATACCAAATCACAAAGGTTCTCGTAATTAATCTTTTTTCGTCACTGACAAGTGTTAAAATGCTTATTAGCTAACGTAAGCACTAACAGCATCAAAGTAATAGAATACTTAGAAAGGTTAAAACAGCGCAAAAGACGACGGACAGGGTGGAGAAGGACACAGACAGAGCGCTGACTCGCAACTAAATTTTTAATGAACACAACGGTACAATGTATACGCACAATTGAGAACAAAAAGAAAAGAATCAGCCTGAACAACACCCAAAACAAAAGCACAAAAACGAAGTATCACCTCTAAAAAGATAAACCAACCTAATCAAGTGGCCAGAAAATCAATCTCCTTCTTAGATAATGCAAGGGAAGGGCTGCTGACACACATGACACCCAATCTGTCTATTTCTAGAGCCTCCAGAATTTCACGTGTCAGCTGGTTCCGGTGGCGTTTAACGACCTTGCACTGTTGGAGCTGAGGCTGGCATCTGCAGTCATGGCAATGTATGCGAAGGTGACCGGAAACCGTCGAATAATGTTTAAGCACGTTCCCTTAGCCTGTCGTTGAGGCAGCGACCTGTCTGGCAAACATAACGCCTGCCGCAAGACAGAGGGAGGGAATACACAGCTCCCTCAGCGCAGGTGACGTAACGATTGCGATGCCAGGGATTAACGGCTCGGCACAATCTAAAAAGCTTGTGGGGAACGGTGAACAAAACATCCACTTCACATATGCCTGCAATACGTTTGAGGTTATGGGCCACGCCATGCATATACTGGCCGGCAAGCCTCTTCTGCCCCTTTAAGTCCGCGCATTCAAAAATTGTAAAACGTGCAATCGCGAAGACCTTCTACACACATGCTTTGCGAAGGTCTTGCTTTCACAAAGTTCAACCTAGCTTTGATAAGCAAACTAAGCGCCTCACTGTCGCTGGGTTCCCCTCACACGTGTGGAAACCCAGTGTGAGGTTTTGAGCAGTGACTTAGCTGTTGTTGAGTCACTGCTCAAAGAAACCAAAAGTTGGCATGAGACGAGCGATATCCCTTCCAGCAGTAGAAAAGAACGAGAAAGAAGAAAAAAAATTCGCCGTCATTCTGTATATGCATGGCGTGGCCCATAACCTCAAACGTATTGCCGGGAGATGTGAAGTGGATGTTTTGTTCACCACTCCCGACAAGCTTTCTAGATTGTGCTGAGCTGTTAATCCCTCTGATAGGGAGGCGAGGGCCTGCACTACGAAGCACCGCAATCGTTACGTCCCCTCCGCTGAGGGAGTTGTGTATTCCCTCCCTCTGTCTTGCGGCAGGCGTTATGTTGGCCAGACAGGTCGCTGCCTCAACGACAGGCTAAGGGAACATGCTTACTACGGCTCTTCGACGGTTTCCGGTCACCTCGGCATACATTGCCGTGACTGCAGATGCCAGCCTCAATTCCAACAGAGCGAGGTCGTTAAACGCCACCGGGACCAGCTGACACGTGTAATTCTGGAGGCTCTAGAAATAGACAGATTGGGTGTCATGTGTGTCAGCAGCCCTTCTGTTGCATTATCTAGGAAGGAGATTGATATTCTGGCCACTTGATTAGCTTGGTTTATCTTTTCAGAGGTGATACTTCGTTTTTGTGCTTTTGCTTTGGGCGTTTTTCAGGCTGGTTTTCTTCTTTTTGTTCTCAATTGTGCGTATATATTGCACCGTTGAGTTCAGTAAAAATTTAGTTGCGAGTCAGCGCTCTTTCTGTGTCCTTCTTCACCCTCTCCGTCGTCTTTTGCGCTGTTTTAACCTTTTAAGTATGTCATACCAGCTCGCTTAGGCTTCAACGTTAGTAATGGAAGAAATCACCGTTGCTACTTATACGTGCACCTATCAACAATCAATGGGACAACAACTAGTGGCAGAAAAACACTCTCCTCCAAAGGTTCGTGTTTCACCATTGTAAGGTTGTTATCAAAACAGTTATTACAGCTGGGATTTCCTTTGCAAGTCATTAGCCTCCATGCTCGTTAGTCCCTTTAGGCATTACATTTTATAAGAATACAATCCCATACGGTGGTGCGGTGGTATCGTTAATTGTGAAGCCTGGACGCAAAAATCTTGAGTTCAAAAGTGCTTTCCGTTGTCTCCTAGCTGGTAGACACCGAGCCATTATGTTTACTGTCGCAATACCTTTCACTTTATATATAGTGGTACAAATCAGAAATCCACAACACAATTGATGTTTTAAAGTATTGTAATCAAGGTACTCGTGAATTACAATCAGAGTGAAAGCGCAGGTGAGATGCTGAATACTTCACAAGGCAGAACATGATACAGGAAAAGGAAAAGTAGTACACGTAAAAATGGGGTCAACACACACGGTCCCCGAGCACAGCTAATGCTTTCTAGACCGCAGCTCTTAGGCGCCCGTTTCCGTGTTGAGCAGTGTCGCCGTCGCCGTCGGCGTCGGCGTAACCACTCTGCTAAATTTAGAGGGAAATTGAATTCGTGTTGAGGTCACGTGACGTCAATTTCCCCTCAAAATTTAGCTGGAAAATTTAACGGGCGGATGGGAGGAGGAGTAGGATTGGAGGACGAGGGGAGGATGAGGAGGGGGAGGAGGGGCATACCTTCCCTCTCCGTACCCTCCCCTCCGCCTTCTCCTCAAAAGCTGCGCACTAATTTCGCATTACAGAGATTTCTAAACGCCCTTGATTTTTTCAACAACGAACCCTTAAACAAAACGCTTCAGCCACTGCCGGAAATTATTCGCAATGCAAATGTTTTTAAGTTCTAACAGGGGTAAAAGTAATGCTACCCCTCAACTAGCTCTGACCTCCACAAAGTCACAAACCAGAGCCCAGCAGCAGTAAATAAAAAACGCGCTTGAACATAAAAAACTCCACCTCCAGCATGATTTACATTGCCTAAATACACTAAGAATTCAGTATAAAATACAACAAAAAGAACAAAGAACACAAATAAAACATATTGGCTGCATGGCTGGTAATTCTACCAAAATGGTTTAAATCTGGTGGCTCTATAGGGTGGTTGTGCTTTTAGTCCGGGTGGTCTCTAGGGCAGTATAATCCTTAATCCTTCAGTACTTGGAGTGGGTGGCGCTGTTTGTTCATGTGGTGCCTAGGGCAAGGTTTTCTATAAAAACGGATTACCTCACACCAATGTATTGCTGTGACGCTATGCGCGCTTCCCTTCAGCAGCAGCCGGATACAAAACCTTTGCCCTGAATTTTCTTGGTCACTAAGGGAGGGAAAGCGCGCTTTTTCGCTCTTCAACTCATCCTTTTTCCGCGCTATATTTTTACTCCACCTGTTTCTGCCCCCTTTCTTTCTTTCCCTTTCCACCCATCTCCGCTCGGCGCGCTTTCTCACAACACCTGCTTCTGCTTCTCCCGTTTTGGCTTGCTGGGTCCTTTGTGCAGCCAGCAGCGCATTCGGCTTCGACGGCGGTGACCGATGCTCGATGCCTTGCACCTGTTGCCGTCTATTTCAAGATTGTTAAGCGGTTATGGACTGACCGACCTACACATTTCTTGCTTACGCAGCTCGTGAGAGTTTTTGGCCCGATGAAGCTACCGCATACACGTGTAAAGTTCGCGCTTCTTTGTCAAATACAGCATAAATAACATTGACACTATTTTTTGGCGTCGTAATGGTGATCGTCTGCTTTACAATAAGTTTAAGCAGATCAGTTTCCCTGCTTACAATTTTCCTGCAATTTTATTTAGAACGCCAATTTTTGCACAGCGCTAGATAATACCCAATATCTAAATTTGATGACTTGTGACTTCCCGTTTTCATACCGACTCCTACATGCGTGCCTCCTGTGCATGGGAGCTAATCACTTTACCGAGTAAAGCCATTAATTGAT